ATGTTTGTACTATCATTTATTTATCATTATATATGTTGAGTTTATGTGTCTATTTTTATATCATTTTTATATATTATCATGTGTTTATCTTTAACTATTGTGTTTATTTATTAATTGATTAGGATTTCATTTATCATTTAATTTTGATTGTTTTTATATATTATTATATATGATACTTTTATCTTCATTATTCCTATTTTTGTATTTGATATATTTATTCTAGGATTATTTGTTCTTATTCAATTTAATTATTCTTCATCTCTCATTCATTTGTCTTTTTATTTTGTTCATCATTTTCACCTTTCATTTATTTAATATTTTTGTTACTTTTAATAATTTGTATTTTACTTATAAAAATGACTTTTATTTGTTTGGGAGAAGCTAAGAAAAAATGAAAATAAGAGAAAAAGGAAAAGAAATGATGAAAAAGAATGATATAAAATAAAAAAGTGAAATTAAGAAGTAGAAGATGATGAAAAGAATAAAAGTAGAATGTTGAGAATATAAAATGAAAGAAGATAAAAAAGAATAATTCAAAAAGAAATAATACAAGATGAAAATAAAGATGAAATAAATGATGCATTTTTTATTATAGAAATTAGAAATATGCAATAAAAAAGCGTTTAATTTATTGATGCAAATTATTTATCATTATTTTATTTATGCAATTTATTTTATTTATTTTTATTTTTATAATTTTTATTTATATATATTATTTATTATCTTTCTTTTTAATATATTGATTATTTTATTTTATTATTTATTATTCTCTATTCTTTTATTTGTTCATTTTTATTATATTTATGAAATATTTCAATATTATAAAATAATTTTATTGTTTAATTATTTAAATGATTTATATTAAAATGAATTTATTTTATATTTTATTGATTTCTTTTATCTTTATTTTATATTTTAATAATTTCTTTAATATCATCATTTTATATTATTATTATTATTATCTTTATTGTTTCATATTTTTATTATTTATTATTATTATTATATTTTTCATTTCTTATTTTATTTTAATTTATTATTATGTTTATTTATATTTCTTTTCTTTCTTATTATTATTCTTTATTCTTATTATTTCTTTATTTATTAATTTTTCTATTTTATTTATTTTCATTTGATTCTTATTTTCATTTCTTGTTTTGATTATTTTGATTTGATTTAATTTTAATTATTATTATTATTATATTTTTGATTATTAATATTTATTTATCATTTATTTATTATTTGTTTTTATTATTATCATTTGATTTATATTTATTATTTATTTCTTTTATTATCTTTCTTTTCTTTATTCTTTATTATTTATATTATATTCATATTTCTTATTATTTATTTTTGATTTTAAATGATTGTTTCAATATTCATCATTTTATTTATATCTATTATATTAATCTTATATCATTAAATTATATCATTAAATATTGAATAATCAATGTGATATAACAAAATAATTTAATTAATATATCATTATAAAATGAAATGATTAATAAATGATTTCATAATAAATATTAAATTCATGAAATAATGAATAATATAATACAAAATGATAAATAAAAATAAAAATGATAATAATAAATAAATAATAATACAAAATATAAATAATAATAAATATAAAAATGATATAATACAAATATAATAATCAAATTAATATATAAATAAAAATAATTAATAAAAATAAACAAATAATAAAATTGAATATATTTTTTATTAAACAATCGAATAAATAAAATAAATAAAAAATATAAATAATAATAGAATAAGAATAAAAGAAATATATATAATAAATAAAAATAATAAAAACATACATAGAAAAAGAAATAAAAAAATAAAATATAATAAACATAAAATAATAAAAGAATAATAAGAAAAGATAAAATAAATAATAAAAATAAATAAATAATAAAATAATAAACATAATATTTATATTAATAAAATACTAAATGATATAATTAATAAAATCAAATATAACATATATAAATGATAAATATGATAAATAAGAATAAAATAAACACAAAAATAAGAAATAAAATAAATAACAAAAATACAAAAACAAATATATTCAAATAAAAAATAAAATAATATAAACAAGAAGAGAAAAGAAGAAAAATATAATATAATCAATTATAAATATTATATGATTAATATATAATATGTAATATATGATAAATAATAAATAATAAATTCATATGATATAGATAGAAGATATAAAAATAAATAAATAATAATAAATAATAAAGAAATAATAAGAGAAATGATATAATAATAAATAAAATATAGAAATGAAAAGATAAATAAAATCAATATAATATAAATAAAATAATAATAAATATAAAGAGAAAATTGATATAAAATATAAAAATATAATCAAAATGAAAATAAGATAAAGAAATGTATTAATATATAAGAAATTATATATAAATAAAAATATATGAATTTAAATAAAATATAAATAATAAGAATATACAACTAATAAAACATGATAAATATAAAATATATAGATAATATGATGATATATATAATATAAGAATAAAAATAAATATAATAATAAAATACATAAATAACATAATAATAAAAATGTATACTTACATTGAATCAAATATCATTTATGAATTATTTATAATTCATAACAATTTACCATAAAATGATATAAAATATAAACAAGCATATATGAATATAGAATGAGTAATTAATTTACTTTTTATTTTTTATTTTAAGAGCAAAATAATAAAAACTATTATTTTATTGTTTCAAAATATTTTGCCCGAATAATTTAATAAAACGAATGACGCTTAGTATTAAAACAAATGACTTTTATAAGAATTAACCAATTAGAAAAGAAGTAATATTTTTTAAAAAAACCCTATTTTCTGCATTATCCATATTTAAACTACAAAATAAACTTACTATTCATCAAATGTCAAGAGTAGTAATAAAATTCTATTTAAATGGAAAATGTATTTCAACTAAACCAATGAATTCACAAGACAATTTGAAAACAGTTAGAGAGAAATTAAAAGAAAAGATATCTGACTCTCAACAATTTCTATCAAAAGATGGAGATTTAATTGATATAGATGGAGAAGATTCATTTACTGTAGGAGATGTAATTGATTCATCAAGAATAATAAATATCAAAGAAACAGGAGATAAAAAAAGAATAAAATTAAAATTAAATGATGAAATAATTAGCACTGTTCAAGTAGATACTAAAACAAAGATAAGTGATATCAGAAAATCAATTCAAAATATTCTAGAATCTGCACATTTTTATACACTTGATAATGAAATAATTGAAAAAGAAAATGAAGAACAATTTTTAGTAGAAGATATAATAAATAATGATGAAATTAATCTTAAAAATGAGAAAGAAAATACACTAAAAAAGGATATTGTAACTGTTAGAATATATTTAAATGGAAAACCATTAATAAAAAATGAATTCAACAAGAACTCTTCTCTTTCAGATATAAGAAAGAAAATTGAATTTGTAAAACATGTTCCAAAAGAATTTGTATTTGAAGACCAAGAAGGATTTAAAATACTAACTGATAAAGAACAAAAAATAAAATTAACATCTATTCTTTATGATAATAAGATCAATATAACAATAGAAGTGTCTGACACTTCTCTAAATGATACTACAATTATATCTGAACCAAATATTCCAATTAAAGGAAGTAAAAGATTGGAAAATCATGAAAAAGGAAAATTGAAAATATATTTATATCCAAATGAACCATTTAATCCAAAGGATGAAAATGATGCAATTGCTATTTTAGTTGTTGGACAAACAGGAAGTGGTAAAACAACATTATTAAATAGTTTTATAAATGCATTACATGGAATCAAGATAACAGATGATTTTAGATATATAATTATAAATGAAGATAATTTAAAACATAATAGAGATCAATCTAAAAGTCAAACAACCAAAGTATCAATTTATAATATTAAAAGAACAAAAAGAGCGCCACCAATAAAAATAATAGATACACCTGGATTTGGAGATACAAGAGGAATTGAACATGATAAAGAAATTATTAAACAAATCAAAGAAAAATTTGAAACAGAAGTATTAGATTTAAATGCTATTTGTTTTGTTGCAAAATCAAGTAATGCAAGATTAACACTAAATCAGCAGTATATATTTGGGAATATTATTAATTTATTTGGGAAAGATATGAAAAAGAATTTTATTGCAATGCTTACATTCTGTGATGGTAAAACACCACAAGTTATTAATGCACTACAATCGCAAGATTGTATTTTCAGTACAATTATTCCATACATAGATAAACCATGGTATTTAAAATTCAATAATTCAGCTATTTATTCAGATAATACTGAAGATTTATTTACACAAATGTTTTGGAAATTAGGTATGAAAAGTTTTGATGAATTTATTGAAAAATTAATAAAATTACCAAGAAAATCATTAGAAAAATCCAGAGAAGTTTTAAAGAGAAGAGAATAAATTAATACCCAAATTGAAGGATTGAGGATATCATTAAATAAAGGTTTGACAAAAAAGAATGAAATAGAACATTATTGTGAACAGTTCTATTTGAATCGTGATAAAGTTAATAATAATCAAAATTTTACTTTTCCTGTAAACATAATAGTACAAAAAAAGGTTGACTTAAAAAGAGGAGAGTATGTAACTAATTGTTTAGTATGTAATAGAACATGTCATTATCCATGTTATATTGAAGGAGATATTAAAAAACGTTGTTATTGCATTGGTGATAATGAATGTTGTAATGTATGTAAATGTCATTATACACATCATGCAAACTCATCATACAGATTTGAGTATATAACAGAAACAAAACAACAAACAGCACAAGAAATATTTGAAAGATATAATGAAGGTAAAGAAGGTGTGGCTAGTGCAGAAAATTTGTTAAAAAAGTTAGAAGAAGAATATTATAAAATTCAAATGGATTGTTATGATAAAGAAGTAGAAATTATAGAATGTATTAATAGATTATCATCAATTGCATTAAATGGTAAAATTAATAGTTCTAATGAATATTTAGATTTATTAATTGAATCAGAAAATGAAGAAAAGAAAACAGGATATAAAGAAAGAATTGAAGGATATAAAGAACTAAAACAAACAAATCAAATAATAGATGATGTTATGAAAAATTCAATAACAAAAAAGAGTAAGGAAGAAATTATGAATGAACTTAAACAAAGAAAGAATGACATAAAAGAAGGACAAAAATCAACATTAGATAAAAATTGTTCAGAATGTGTTATTTGCTGAAGACAAATAATTAAATGGAAGTTTTAATTAATTGGTTTAGTTTAATTCATCAAATATCTTCATTATAAATGAAATATATAATATCATTTATTATCTTATTTGTAATGTTATCATTATAGTTGTAGAGTTAAATATTAGTTTCATTTTATCTTTTTAAGTGTTAATTAATGATTAAATCATCAATAAGTATCATACCGATATTATTTAAACTTATTTACTCTTAAATTTCTCATTTTTCTTGAAGTATTTTGTATTTATTTAATTTGTGTAACTAGTTGAGATGTGTTGATATTGTACAATTACAATATCAATGAATATGATTTGTTGTTAATGAAATGTAATTGATTATGTAATAATTAAACTCTGTATTTAATTCATAAAACAACAAACTCTCTATTTGATTGTTGTGTGATATGAACAAACATATGTGATATATACACATTTTCTCATTGATTTTCTGATTCAATAACATTATGTTGATATTCATTCTCATTATTTCTCTATTTGCTTGATAAATTCATAAATAACCATTGAACAATTTATCTTGAATTTTATCAAATAACTCTACTAAATGACATTACCATTTGAATAACACTCTTTTTTATTCACTGATTTTCTCTTTTATATACTTTTTATTTATTTTTCTTTTCTTAATGAATCAGTGTTTATTCTAATTGGATTTCGTTATTTGTTTTTAGTTGTTTAGTAGACTAACCAAGACAATAAATTACAAAGAATATAAATATGATATTCTCATTAACTAATTTTTAGTTCTTTTTTATTTTTTTAATATAACAAATAAATGAAATATAATTTAAAATATTTAATTAAATTGAAATAAATAGAAATATTATTTATTGTTTCTTTGAATAATACAACTTCACATAAATAATTTAATTGTCATGCTTGTTTCATAATACTTTAATCAAAATGTGATTTCATTTATTTATAATTTGATTTATCTTGTTAAGGTTTGTATCAAAATCTGATTATTATTGACATGAAGTAAATTTAAAAGATAAGGTGTGTTCATAAAAGAGTATTAGAATATGTAGAAATTCTTTATAATTTATTTTAAATTACTTGGTATTTATATTATGTAGTTTTTCATGTTTTAAATTTCTTTAAATTAGTATAAATAAAAACAAATGAATTCTTTCCTATATTATTATTTATCATTTATTCATTTAAATTGGTTGTTCAACTCTTTCTTTATTTTCAAATCCATAATTCAAGTATTACAATAATATTGAATATTGTAAATAAAATAATTCCTATTTTTTTCAATCTCTTTTATTTCATTCATCTTTGTTTCTTTTCTTGTTAATAATTATATTTTATTTATTTGAAGAATCACAGAATCTCTAATCTTTAATAGGTTTCATATTTTTAATGTTTATCATTGATATAATATGATTTATTTTGTGGTATATTTATTGAGATTGTATTTTATCAATTCATTATTCTTTATCTTATTTTTATTTGTTATTTAAATAACATAAATAAAGTATTTTTAAATAAAAATCAATAAATTAAGTATTAATACAATTTGTATTTATTATTCTTGAATCAGAGGAGATTAATCAAATCATTAGTTTTCATCATGTATTTCAACAGTATATGTTTGGTTGTGGTCTCCACAATGTTCACTGACATCAATCATGTTTTTAATTACAAGGTTTTTGATTTCTTTTATAATGTTAATTTCATTTTTTTAATTATTTAATTAATTTAATACTTCGGCATTATTAATTAATTTATTGAAATTGCTACTGTATTTATTTTGATACCCTTTATTTTCTATATTTTAATTATCATATTTTTTTTAATTCTTATATATTTCTTTTCTTCCAATAGGCTCCATTAATATTGTGATCTACCACATAGTCATATCAAATATTAGACCAGTTTTATTCTTTTTGTCTAGTACATATATATCTGGTATTTTATGATATTGTCCATCAATTTTTGGCATATTTATTTGTTTAATATCATAATAATATCATTGTATTAGAACACTGTTTTATATGAGGATTTTTTTATATTGATTATTTAATGTATATTTTATTATTATTTAATACGATAATACAAATATTGTCATGTTTTTCAATTTATGATTTTTATGAATAATACAAAATAATAGAATGTGTCATATTGTTGATATATTGTATTTACAAAGTGTGCCGTTTTCAATCATTTTTAATATTTTATTTTTTCTATACACATTGAATATTATTCTATCTTGTATTTTAGTTAATTGAAGAAATGTATTCTTTTTAATATTGATTGACTTTAATTTATTGTTTATATTTGTTTTATCTATAAATTTTGATTCAATCAATATTCTAAAATAGGTCACGAAATTATGCATTTTATTCATATTCATCATTATATTATTATATTGATTTGTGATGTTGTTAATTATTTCATAATTGGTGTCTAAATGTAATGAATGTATTCATTGTTTGTTTAAAACATGATGTTTATGTTTGATATATCATTGAAATGAATTATCATGTTGCAAAATATTTCTTGTTAAATGTTTAAAAGGTAAAAAAAAAAAAATAGTAGAAAATATTATTAGATGAAAATATTTGTGATTAAATATGAGAATAACATATTTGTAAATTATTAGTTATATCTTTCTACTTCGTTTTCTGTATTAAATGAATATATCTGTTGATGAAATTGAAATTGAATAAAATAAATATAAAATGAAAATGATAAAAGAAAGAATAAAGAAAATAATAAGAAAATAAATATAATGATTAATGATAAAATTAATGAGTTATTATCATGAATGAAAGTTGAAGATAAACATTAAATTCATTATTATTATTTATAAATGTTTAATTTATAATACATATTAAATAGTCACTCTTCATTCTGTATTATTGTGTTGATGTTTAAATTATTCAATTTGTTATTATCATATCATCATTTCATTGATACTTCTTATGTATTATCTTTTTATTTGTTTCATCATTTATCTCTTGTTTGATATGATAATATAAATAATTTACATTGTATATTATCATCATTCATCATTGATAATCATCTATGATATAATTTAATTTTCATATCAATAATTATATCATTTAAATAAATAAATAATAACATCTAATAACATATCATTATGACATCTCATCAGTATGATAAATGAAATGTAACATATTTAATCATTAATAACAATACGATGGATATTCATATTTATATAATCATTGTTATTCATAACTAACATTATAAATTTGAATTAACATAATGTTCTTCTTTATTACATTTCATAATGATATTTTCACATTAAAATAGAATTGAAGGTAAATGAAATGAAATAAAGAATAATATAAAATGAACACAAATATGAATGAATATACTCAACAAGTCAAGATATATCATACTCAATACAACAAGAATTACAAAATGTCGACTGATTGTTATAGAATTTGTATTTTACCTACTTTTTATTTTAATTTATATTTTATAATTTTAAGAGAAAATAATAGAAAACAGAATAATCTAATATTCAAAAAATATATTACACTATTTTCATTTGAGCATTTTATTTAAATGCATAATTTCTTCGCTTATTTTGGTTCCCTCTAAAATATTAATTTATTGATGTATTTGTTTGTTATTATTTTATTTATTTTTATTATTTCTTTTTATTTTCAATTATTTCTTTTATTATTTATTTTATTTCTGTTTCTTTAATTTTATGTTTTATTATTTTTTATTTATATTCATTATTCATTTCTTTGAATATTGTCTATTTAATATATTATTATTTCATTCTTGTATAATATTACATTACTATTCTAATTATTTCATTATCATATTCATTATTCATGTTTATTATTCATTATTTCTTTTATATTGATATATAGATTGTATTTAGAATTACCAACAATAATATATTTATATTTATTATTTATTTTATTATCTCGATTTCAATTCTATATAAATTACATTCTATTTTTATTACTGATAAATATGTGAAGATATTAATTAACTCATTATTAATTATTGTAATATATCTTATATTATTACTTTCTTCATAATTTATTTATTCAATTTTCTTCATTATCTTTTATTTGATGATTTTATAATTAAATATATTATTAATTTCATCTGATTATCATACATTTAAATATTTATACAATTTATCTATTGTGATATTTTCATTTCAAGATGATATTTGATTAATATTATTTATTTCTTGTTTTATTTTCATTTCTTTATTTAATTTATTATTTATTTAATTTATATGTTAATTATTCTCATTTATTCATTATATAATATATGATTTATATTATTGAACTTATATTCATTGATTTGATAAATTATATTTATTTTGATGATGATAGAGATTGTAATGAATCATAATGTAAAATTAATCATTTTAATATATCATTTATATTCATTATATTTATATCATATTTATCATATTTATCATATTTATCATATTCATTATATTTTATATATTATTTATGTTGATTTATTCTATATTAAATTATTTTAATATTTATATTACTTATTCATGACTCACTGAGTCATATAATTTATTAATATCATAATATGAATTTATATATTTTGTATTTATCTTCTTTTTGTTGATTTAATATATAACTATTAATTATTCATTCTTTATTATCCAGAAATTATAATTTACATTACATTTGATTTTTATTAATTTTAAATGATTCATTATTCATATTAATTATATTATGAATATTATATTTTAATAATGATATAAATATTTTCATAAATACATTATACAACTAATATGATGATAATTAATAACATTGTTCATTCACTTCATTTGTTGATTAATATTATTCTTCAATTTACTATATTTAATTTGGTGAATTCATTGAAATTTAATTATTCATTAATATATTAAGAATATACTCTCTTGATGTTGATATTCTCTTCAATTAATATAAATATATAATATCAATTCATAGTGATTTCCAGTTATTTATTTTCATCATAATTAAATTTAAATTATCCATTGTGATGATGATATTATCATAATTTCTGTATCTTTCATTCTAAATTATAATTTGATTTATTTTCATTTATTTTAATTGATTAATGATAATATTAAGATATTCATTATCATGTCAATAGAATTATTTTCATATTGAAGTTTTTTATTATTGAATTACACTTTTTTTTCTATGATTGAGTTCACTTTCATTTTAATATGTATTTTAGTTGTTTATTTTATTTTATGTGACTTTTTAATATCATTAATGTATTCTTTATCATTATTTACATTATTATTTATTACTTTTATTATGCTTTCTATTTCTTATTTTCTTATTTTCTTATTTAATTTCTTATTTAACAAATTAATTCAAAACAATACAAAATATCAATTAAAATTCTATTTGTTTGATTTATTGTGTTTTATTTTATTATTGATTGATTATCATTTCTTTTTTTTTGATATCAATGTTTTGTTATTTTATTTCTAATATTATCTTTTTCATAATGTATTTTGTTCATTTATATTGTCCATGATGATGATGTTCTCAATATTGGTTGTGTATTTATCATTATGTTATTGTTTTCTTCTTGTCAATTATTAATATTATTCGAATATAAAAATAAATTATATTTCTTTTTTACTATCTCATTCTTTAATTCTACTTGATTTTCATCTTTCGTCTTATTGAATCATTTTCTTTTTTAATTAATTTATTTTTATTGATCCATGTTTTTATTCACTTAATACAATAATTATCAATGCTCAAATGTTGAACTATATTGTTATCATTTAATTGAAACGCTTAAGGTGATTACTACAAGAGTGTTGATTGTCTATGATTATTTAACAGAATTATTGATTGTTCAACTATTTTTATTTTTTTGTTCTTTTATTTCTCTTCTTATTATGTTCTTTTTCGGCTTCAGATTACAGCCCACTTAATGTTTTAATATATTGGCAATACTCAATCCTTCAATAAAACACAATAACAAAAAATTTCATTAAAACTCTTCTCTTCTTTAAAATCCTCTTTTTTGTTCATTTGAATAATCAAAAACAAAACTACAAAAAATTTATAACAAGGTACTCGATTCATTACTCCAGCAATATTACATGCCCATCTTTCTTCTGTTCCAATGTCTTCTCTTGAAGTTATAGTTAATGGTGTTTCCAGTTTTCATTCTGAACCATTGTGGGACGCCTCTGTTTTGGTGAATTTTCTTACCAAGTTTTAATTTGTATGAGAAACCCTTGTGTCCAGTCATTGACCTTGTTACTTTCTATTTTGAAGTTCTTCTCTCTCAGTCCTTTCATTCTTTCTTTTAGTTATTAATTTATTATTACTTTTTATTATTTATTATTAGGTTTTCCATATTTAATTATCACTTATTATAATTATATTATTAAAATATATTTATAATAATAACATTTTTTTATCAGACTTATTTATGTTATTAAAATCAATAAATTTTTTTGAAATAACAAAAAATATGCTATAACAACAAAATAAACAAAAAATGAAGATAACGTTGATAAAGAAGTACAACAAATGAATTATTTACTTTCAAACACATGATCAATAAATCTCTTAATATCAATGCACCCTTCTTTATTTAATCCTATATCTTTAACTAACTCATCAGCTTCATCTTCAGAAACTCGTTCTCCAAATTCCATCATCATTGCTTTAAATTCATCAACAGTAATAGTAGTTTTCCCTGGTCCAAAAAATGTATCAAATGCTTTTTGGATTTCTTCAACACTATCTGGTTCTTGAAGTTTTTGAGCGAGTAGTGCCAAGTATGTTGCTTCATCAAGTTTATCACTTCCATGGATTTGTTGCATTTGATAGATTTCTACGTCTGTAGTATTTCTTCCCATTCCTCTCAATATTTGACCTAATTCTTCGAACGTGATTTGTCCATCTTTGTCTTTATCGTAATGTTTGAATGTAGCTTTAAACTTCTTCTTTTGCTCTTCAGTGAGAGAAGACATAAGATTAAAGAGTTCTATTAAAACTCTTTATCTGATTCACAGAAAAAAGTGTTTTTTGAATTTTATTGATATTTTAATTTATGTTTTTTATTTTTATTTTTAAAAATTTCTAAATATAGAACAAAAACACATCAAACAACATCGAATAGGACCAGTTAGACGGAAAGAAGAAGGAAAAAAACGGGATAGTAACGATTAGAGGATCTTATAAAAATGAACTAACCCTGGCAGATTGTTATAAAATGGGAAGAAGACCAGGAAGATGTTATAGACTTGTTAGAGGACACCCATACCCAAAATCAAAGTACTGCCGTGGTGTCCCAG